ATAAAGTTGAATGAAAATGATCTGGTGCGCCTTAAAGTCCGAAAAATACTATAAAAGTGTTCAGAGCCGCAACAACCTGCTACAACTGTGATTATCAACAGGTGGCCCGGGGGCCACTTTAGGTTAGTTGGGGAACTTTGTGGCCAGTAGAGATGACATAAAGCTAAAAATATCAATGATATTTAACATTTATTAATATTTGTACAATTTAAGACAGATTAAAAGACTAGAATCTTGTAAAGAGTGGGAAAAATTGTTTTAAAAATATATATATATTATGAATTATGCAGACCGATGTCTTTTTTTTATTTTTAATTTTGGAAAAATTATTAAGTATAGAAATAAAGCAAAAAGCTAAAGTGATCATTTGCAAAAGAAATGACAGGAAAACAGCTAAAACTAGTATTTTTTTTATTGTTTGTAAAACAACCAGTAAAATTCAGTGTTATGTTAGTTTTGGTCAAAGCTTGAAAGAGCCGCTGCAAAGGGACCAAAGATATCTAGATGGAGCATCAATATTAGAAGTCACTACCTCACTTGTTTTTCAAGTTATCATGCTCACAACATGCACAGACAAACGGAGGGTATTTTCAATCCCTCCTTTTCATTCTGCAATGGGAGACAATTAGCTGGTTATTAGCCTCTGTAGTGAGCATACACTACAAAGCTATATACATTTCACCTGCTAATATGCTAACTCTTGTTGCTTGTTTATTTTACCCTAATCAAAACTGAGGAAACGTATAGTTTAATTAAAGGCCCAGGAATCCTTGAATACATGTATCGTCTGCTGCATTTAATGCCACAGTTTTAGACTAAGATCATCTCTTGATGATGATGTTGCTGTCTTAGTCAAATCTCAAAGATAAGTTAAGCACTATAGTAAAGGCCATTTCCAACAAAAGTGTTGTGAATGACTCTCAGCTACTACCACATTAGATTTTAGCTCAATATCTGGAGAACTGACCAAGATATAGCCATTTTCTGTTGGCTAATGTCAGTTGGCTGCAGTGACCATCTTGAATTGGATCAAATCCAAACATCAGTTGTACACGTCCATCTAATGATTGCTTTCTAAAAGTTTCATAAAATCAATTGGTTCATGAGATATTTTGCTAACACAACAGACTAACAAACACAGACCGTAAAACACGTTATCACCCTTTCTCGTAGTGTCGGCGAGCGATAAAGATAACTGAACATTTCTCTGCTGCTGCTGGGCTGTTTTGATGAGATTCTTGTATTAAATGTGAAAACCTGTTCAGGTTCTGCAAACCACAAAACACTAAATGAGCACAACATTCTGAATATTTTACCACTGGAACAAAACTAATGGGTTTCAGTATTTTTAAAGCATGAACCATAAATACCACAAAAAGAGCCTGGAGGTAGTCCACTGGTTACCACTGTGTTTGTTTGAGTTCAGAGCTTGTTGTGAAGAAGCTTGTTTCCAGTTTCCCTCCTGTTTCTTTCTGGAAATTGTCCCCATTGTTTGAAGAAGACACCAAAGGAATACAAAGGAAGAATGATGAGTCTTCCTATTTATTGGAAGAAACCACAATAAAATGTCTGCAGATTGTGTGTAGGGGGGACTTTACAGGTTGGATTTGAACCAGGCACAAGAACACCATGTCCCCCCCCCCCCTTACAATGAGAGCCAATATATGTCAAATATATTTTTCATCCCAAAATTTCCCCCCATTCTTTTTCTCTAATGTGATTTTCATTAAGAGATGATCTTTGTTCGGAAGTCCTTTGTTCCATCTATCTGCACAATTCTGGGTTTTTCTTTGGTGAATAAACGTCGTGGTGGCGGATGTTTTACAGACACTACAAGTCAGATTTAAAGGTTGAAGCAAAGTGCTTGGCAGTTCAGCCTAAGGAGAAACGGTTATTATTAAGTTTATGTTTATTTCATTGTCTGCCATAATTTGTTTTTGGTTTCACTTTTTTTAAAATAATTTAAACTTTTGAAGATGCCGTATTCTAAATCAGGATGGGCAAATTTTATTTTTTTTTTTTACCAGAGGGCCAAATCAAGGTATTTAAAGCAATTGAAGGGCCAAATAGAGAGAAAGTACTGGTAAATAGATTTTCTTTAAGACCGATAATCTGGAACACTTTTTTCAGGCTTTATCTTGTAGCAAAGTTAGCATGCTTGATAAAAATAAGTCTCCTTGATACTCTAGGTATATAAAACATATTCTTTGTAAACTGGCTCTTGAGACAATATGTTGGCTAGCTTTAATATGTTAAAAAAAACATACTTGCTTTTTGGAGTCTTTAAGGTTCAATCTAGTTCTGGAAACACAACGACTTCAGGAAATTTTTTTGGCCTTTCTTAATCCATCCATTATCTTTACCTGCTTCTTCCATTTCGGGTCGCAGAGGTCACTGGTGCCCATGTCCAGTCATCATTGTGCGAGAGGCAGGGGACACCCTGGACAGGTCTCCAGTCCATCACAGTAACACATAGAGACAAACAACCATTCACTCTCTCACTCACACCTAGGGACAATTTAATGCTCCCACCTACTCGGGCGTACTTCACTCAGCAGAGGTCCGCTCATACCGGATTAGACTTAACATGGACTCAAAGTGGACACCTTAAAGCCATGTTCGCACAAAGATCAATTTTCATGACCGCGTACACGTACTCTGTGTCGCACAATAAACTGACCAGCCTCGGACTGTTTTGTCCGCAACACCAATGTATTAAATTCCCCTTCTTCATCTGTGGTCTGGTTTAATGGCCTTTTCTTTTGTTTTTTTTTTGCAAAGAGGCAAGCGATCTCTTCCTCCTCCTCAGTTGATGTCATGACTGAAATTGTTAGAAATGAAGGAATTTATCACTAGAGAATTAAAATTCAATTCAATTCAAAAATACTTTATTAATCCCAGAGGGAAATTATTTGTTGTTGTAACTCGTTATCCTAGTTTCATTAAGAGATGTTATAGATACTGATGGCTGTAAGTAGGAAGGATCTTTTGTAAAGGTCCATCCCACAGTGGATCCTAAGAAACTGGCTGCAGATGCCGTCCGATCCGTCCACCCAGACTCATCTTGCCTCTCGGTTCCCCCGGGCTGCAGGACCGCCCGAATGCCGGGCAGAACTCCTCCCAGAGCGATGGCCACTCCTCCCAGCAGTCTGCCGAGCTCCTCGTCGCTGCGGACAGCCAACTGTAGGTGCCGAGGGACGATCCTGTCCTTCCGCTGTCATGAGCCGTTTTTCCTGCTAGTTCCAGGATCTCGGTGGTCAGGCACTCGAGCACAGCTGGCAGGTAGATGGGAATGCATTCACGGAACATCCTTTTCAACTCATTTGAGATTTGGGGCTGTAGTTGAGATATAATTTGAGCTTTTGAGATGTTAGTCAGCTGCTGTTGGTTGTAGAAAACAGCCTTGTTGCCATGGTTACGCATCATAACAAATGTCCAAAACTAAAAAAAGTTTCAGTAAAAATCCTTCCAGCTGCACAGCATCCGATACCAGAGGAAACAATCATCCAAAAAATGTGATTTACATCCAGAAAAAGAGGAATTAAAGTTTCTAAAAGCAAAATCTCAGAATGAAAGTAACAGAGCTGCTCCAACATGCAGCCACCTTGAGCGGCGCAATTCTAGAACTGTTCATGTTCATGTTCATGGTCTGTTCAAATCAGGCCCGGCGTAACTGTGGGAGGGTCTGGAGATTTCCCAGTTGGTCGGTCTTATGTGTGGGCTTCAGGGCCAGCGCTCTCTGTGGGTTTTTTTGTTGTTGTTTTGTTTTGGTTTTTTTTAGATTTTTTATTAACAACATATAAACACAGAACACCGCCGCCGCTGCTCCTGGGCTGCCAGCTGCCTCTACTCAGGGCCACCGGTAGCTCTCGATTTGATTTTTTTTGCATCCCGTCAATCAGTCCAGTAGGCGTGTTAGCAAATGACCAATCGGCGACCTCAATTTGTCCCAAAGGTAAACGCCCTTGTCTGCGGAGCTGGGCAGCAGCCACTATGGGTGTATGCACAAGTATGAAGTTTCAACTGTCTGCAGACAGTGCACGCAGTGTCCACATGGCTCATGGAGTACACACTGTACACCCGAGTATGTAGGAGCCTTTAGAGTTACCAATCAGCCTAACATGCATGTTTTTGGTCTGTGGGAGGAAACCGGAGTACTCAGAGAAAACTCACACATGCATGGAGAGAACATGCAAACTTCACACAGAAAGGTCCCCGGCTGGGATTTGAACCAGGAACCTTCTTGCTGAGAGGCAACAGCTGTACCTAACTGGTAACTCTAAATTGTCTCTAGGTGTGTGAGAGTTCATCAACCTATTTAAAATATTTATTTTCAATTGAGAATTTTGAGGGCTGCATAGAGATTGTCTGACGGTCACTTTTGGCCCATATATTGCCCACGTCTGTTCTAAATAGTCAGCCAAACTAGATTAGTTGAGCCAAATTTTGTATACTTTTGGCTGTTTTCTAGTTGTCACTTTGTTGTTTTTCATTGTGCGGCTAGTTAAAACTGTTGTTCCCCAACTTTTTTACTTCTGATCCACAAAATACTATTTGAATTTTACAACATGAAACACTTACCTAACTTATAATAGCAATACAAACTTGGTTCCTAATCAGGTGTTTTAGTTGCATCTTTTGGAATAATTGTACGTTTGATGTAAAGGAAATGAAATAGGAAAAATCTAAAGAAGTGACTGCACAAGGTGGAAAGAAGATGAGCGGAATCAAGGGATTGCTTCAAGATTTTTGACTCGTGGCGGTAGGACTTAATGAGATGGAAATCCCGCTCTGGGATAAGAGGCTTCCTCCAAAGGGCTTTAAAAACACATGGAGCTGCTATAGATTCTCAAATCAACACTAATAGAAAACAGATTCCACAGCTGGGCAGTTGAAAATATGTATGTCCAAGGAAAATACACAGTGTATGGTTGATGTTTAAAAATAACTATATGGTAGTATTTAAAGCTTTAACTATCTTTATTTTATTTTATTTGCAGTGACTTGTCGATGCAGTGGGCTCAGTTGCCCAGACCATACTCCTCCACTGACCAAAGCAGCTCCCTGGGCTCTATGGAGAGCTTGGACACACCAACACCAACTACACAGCCATACTCTGGCTCCCACAGTTCACCTGTTGACCCCACCCTCTTCAACAACAAGCGAGACTCGGCCTACAGCTCCTTCTCAGCTAGCTCAAACACGTCTGACTATGCCACTGTGCCACTAAGGCCTGGTGAAGCCTGCTCTATGGACAACCTTCTAAAAAGTCTTGGGCCAGCATGTCAAAGCTACCATGGTGACCCTTCAACCTTGGAGAGGCCATCGGATGAGGCCCCAGATCTAATTGCACACAAGTCAAGATCGTTAACCAGGCCCAGACCAAGACCTGCAGAGGTTAAAGAGAGGCCTTCATCCTGCTGTTATGAGCAGGAGCGGAAAGGAGGAGATTTTGAGATGTTAAAAAATGGAGAATCTCGAATGGAGAGGAAGAGTAACCCCCCTCAGCCACCAACCAGGAAGGACAGTTTTCGGGCCACCCAGAGTCACACTGATGCTGCCAACAAACTTTGCACTTCTGCTCCTACTGAAGATCACAGTGTTTTTTATTATGAAGAAAACAAGTCTTGTCTAAATTCTGAATTTGTAATTCAGAATGGTTTTCCTGCACCAGAAGAGTGTGACCAACCTGAGAGTTTACAGATAGAGGCAGTAGATTCACATTTTATCCATAGTCAAATTGACGGAGTTCGACATATTAGATGCGATAGCAATGCAAGAAAAGAATACAAATCAGAGACCACCTCAGGTGATCTCTCTGACTCAGTGACAGCATCTGAAGAAAAAGAGCCCATCACTCTTTCCAGTCCAGCATTGTTGTTTTCTGAATCTTCCATGAACAATCAAGTTCACTCTAAACAATCCAATGCTGGGCTGCACCGGCACAGTGCCCCTGAGCATCTTCTCACTACTCAAATTCAGTTACTTCAGTTTAACAGTGACAACTCTTCTGTAGAGCCTTACAACCCCTCAAATCCTTCTGACCCCACACTGTCTCTTTGTAGCAACCAGTGGTCTAATTCATCATCAGTCCAGCCTACAACAAATGACCACGAAGCTTTTCAGAAGCAGCTTCCTTCAAATAAATGGAGTGGTAGCCAGTGTCCAACCCCAGGTTCAGTCTTCTTGGAAGTGGAAGATGGTGTTTCAAATGAAAGGCTGGAAGGAAACATAAATGGTAGGTCCCTTTCACCAGTTCAGTGTCATATGCCTTATGGTCGCTCCGTAAGTGTGCCTGGTGAACCCACAAGGTTGTCACCCCAGGAAAAACTGAGCTCTGGTCAGATAGCAGAGAGCGATTTTCAGCCCCTTTGTGCTGCTGCTAGTATGGATACTTTACTCCAGGAGCAAGCAGTTATAGAAAAGGGCAGGTGTGGGCCTAAAAAAGAGGACCTTGGGGAAAAAGAGGAATACACAAAAAAGTCTAACCCATCTAAAAACTATCGACGGAACCGTCGGCGAAATGAGCGATTTGCTACCAACCTCCGCAATGAGATTCAGAGGAAAAAGGCCCAGCTTCAACGTAGTCATGGTCCAGGAGGACTGCTCTGCAGCAGAGAAACCGTCCAAGAAGAGGAAGGTTCAGACCATTGTGAAGAGGAAACCATCTCAAACCTTTCTGTTCAGAACAAGTGTGCCTCACCAGCAGTCCTTCAAGATTCCCATATATCATCACAAGTCAGGACATCAAACACCTTAAGTGAGTCAAACTGTGATATCCTTCAAACCCAGTCCACAACCTACACTGAGAACAATTATCAATCCAGGTCTGTCCAGATTCTGGACCCAGGCATCCCTAGTTTTGGCGTTGGCGTCAGAGTTGTGGAGGAACCAGCACCTGCTGGGAAGGCTCGCCGCTGGCGTTGGACCCCAGAGCATAAACTACAGCCAGAACCAGATGGAGACCGACAATGTAGAGTCTCTGACGAAAGGGTGTTGGGGCTCACAGAGTCACGTCATGGAGTCTGCGCCTTCACCTCCTCATCCAACTCCCCTCACAGTCGCTCCTCTTCGTACACACGAAAGGAGGAGTCAGATATTCTTCCATTTGCAGAAAGAATGAAGTTTTTTGAAGAGACTTGCAAAGGCAAACCAAATGCTTCCAATGCATCACATTACAGGCAGAAAAACACTGAATGTCATCCCGAGCACCACACAGGAGAATTTGGTCAACATTCAACCCAGAGGAGATACTCCTACCAGGGTGGACTGCAACAAGAAAGTGTCCAACTTCCAAACACTGTGGAGGCCAGAAGGCAGTCTGTGAGCGCCATCAGGGAGAGACAGAAAGAGATGGAGAGGGAACGGTTCAGAGAAACGGAGGAGAGAGAAGAGAGGTTAAGAGAGATGGAAAGGCAACAGGAGATGGAAAGACAAGAGAGGGAGTTAGATATTGAGTGTGCAAGGCAGAGGGAGATGCAAGAACAGAGGGAGCGAGAGGAGAGGGTGAGACAGTGGGAGAGAGAAAGAGAGAAGAAAAGAGAAGAAGAATGTCAGCTTACCTCTTATAATGAGTGTTATGGTAATCCTGGCATCAAAGAAAGAGATAAAGACTTTGAACATAAGGAATATTTATACAACTGCCAACCCAAGCCTCCAATGTTCTCTCAGAGCCAAATACAAACACAGGTCCCGCAGTCAGGGTTTTATCCAGTCAGTCATCCTTTACATCCACTGGAGAACCGCCAACCTCTGCATCAAGGATACTCTGCATGGAGCTACACTCCCTCAGAGGTAAGAATGCTTCATGATTAATTCACTTCATGTTTCATCCAGGCTCAGCAGGAGGCTGCTGTCCTGGGATCTGAACCTTTTAGCCAAAATAACTAGGGGTGCACCGATTGCAGTTTTCTGGCTGATCACTGATCTCAAAATCCTGACCTGCCGATTCCGATTTTGGCCGATACCGATTTTGTTTTATAAGTGACACTGTCAGGTGTTATAAGGTCACAATGCACTTTCAATTTTCCAATCTTGTTTTATTGACAAACATACCCTTGAACAATATCCTAGAAACAATACACACATGTTTTAACTGGCCATGAAGTATTGCTCTGAAATATAAATGAAGTTTAGACAATTGTTAAAACTACAAAAAATCGGTAAAATCTGTTTCTCATGCAAGTATCGTCCGATTTCCGAAAATTAAGGAAATGGGGCCGATAAATCGGGGCTAATAAATCAGCTGGCCGATAAATTGGCCGGCCGATTTATCAGTGCACCCCTAAAAATAACCTCAGTGCTTATCACTAAATACTCACCTTTAGGTAATCATCTTTAAATACTTTTTAGTTTATGTTGTGCTTCCAGTACTGCTTGTTGCAGTACTGAGTCCAGGTGGATAAACTTTCCATGGCACTGTATTTGGACTGTGCTCGTGGAATGTACCAAAGTGACCACTAAAGACTGAAAACTCAGCTCTGTTTCAACAACCAGCACCTAAAGCTATCAAGTGGCCACACTCAGATGCTGGAGCTAGAAGTTGCTGCTCTGTCCAAGCGCTTCGTGGTTAAGCGGTTGATTAAAAGTTGAACCTCATGTCCTGCATGTGGTCAAAGTCTGAAATTCTCATCAAAAATGAAGTGGATCATTGAAATATTTCATGGCACTGAGTTGAGTTGGGCAACAGTGGTGCTCCACTTGTGTTAGCGCTAATAGCAACGTTGGCTTACTGCTTCACCGCAAATTGATTCTAGGCTCTGCTGGGGGGAAGGGAGGGGGGTGTCAGCTCTCTTATGTTTACATTTTTTTAACATCAGCCTTTTAGTATTATCATTTGACATCGAAGTAATTCAATCTGACGTTTGTCTTGGACTTACATTGATCTAGAGGTCAGCAAATAGTTGGTCCAAGTCGGCACAGTTTTGTTGGTTTTGTGTGACATTGCCATACCAAAGCCTCGGGGGAGTCTTGACCCCTGCACCTTGACATGTCGGGATTCCTCTTCTTTTTTTTTTTTAATCAAAGCTGGCTCTGATGCCACTGTGATAACCCCACGTGTTGAAATCTGCTGCTGACAGGGTCCAGTCTTTTAATGGGAACAGATGTGCTGACTGTGTTTGTACATGTGAGCACACCTCCGTCAGGAATCTATTAACTCGTGTTCGTTAACACTAAGACATTTTAAATGAAACAGGGATTCATGCTTATTAAAGTCTAGGCTTTCTTCTTGTGTGTGGTATTTCGGAGCGTGTTTATTTTGGACATCGAAAACAAAATATGAAAATGTAGTAATTTTAGTGTCTGCTGTAATTCTTCATATTTAGACACCCACAGCCTAGCTGTGTTTTTAAGTGATTCAGTTGAAATTAAAGTATTATTTTTACATCTTACATCATGACACTACCAATAAAAGTACTGGTTCTCCTTGTTTGCTCTTTTTAAATTAATGAACAAACAATTCAAAAATAACGTTTGGAAATAAAGCCCATTCACAGCAGATTTCACAATATGTTTCGTCTCTTTCTCTCGTTTTTTTTTTTTTTGTAGGTTGCACATGTATGAAAAATTTGGTATTTTGGTTAAAAAAAAAAGTTTTTAAAATGCTAGCTTATTTAAATGACATACAACTTTCAACAACAAAAGGTGTTTTCTTGATTGTAATAGGAACAATATACAAACCGGATTCCAAAAAGTTGGGACACTAAACAAATTGTGAATAAAAACTGAATGCAATGATGTGGAGATGGCAAATGTCAATATTTTATTCGTAATATAACATAGATGACAGATCAAAAGTTTAATCTGAGTAAATGTAAAATTTAAAGGAAAAATATGTTGATTCAAAATTTCACAGTGTCAACAAATCCCAAAAAAGTTGGGACAAGTAGCAATAAGTGGCTGGAAAAAGGAAATTGAGCATATAACGAACAGCTGGAAGACCAATTAACACTAATTAGGTCAATTGACAACATGATTGGGTATAAAAAGATCTTCTCAGAGTGTCAGTGTCTCTCAGAAGCCAAGATGGTAAGAGGATCACCAATTCCACCATTGTTGCGCAGAAAGATAGTGCAGCAATACTAGAATGGTGTTACCCAGAGTAAAATAGCAAAGACTTTTAAGTTATCATCATCAACCGTGCATAACATCATCAAAAGATTCAGAGAATCTGGAACAATCGCTGTGCGTAAGGGTCAAGGCCGTAAAACTCTACTGGATGCTCGTGATCTCCAGGCCCTTAAACATCACTGCACCTCAAACAGGAATGCCACTGTCAAGGAAATAACAGAATGGGCTCAGGAATACTTCCAGAAAGCATTGTCAGTGAACACAATCCACCGTGCCATCTGCCGTTGCCAGCTGAAACTCTACAGTGCAAAGAGGAAGCCATTTCTAAGCAAGCTCCACAAGCTCAGACATTTGCACTGGGCCAGGGGTCATTTAAAATGGAGTGTGGCAAAATAGAAGACTGTTCTGTGGTCAGATGAGTCACGATTTGAAGTTCTTTTTGGAACACTGGGACGCCATGTCATCCGGACCAGAGAGGACAAGGATAGCCCAAGTTGTTATCAACGCTCCGTTCAGAAGCCTGCATCACTGATGGTATGGGGTTGCATGAGCGCTTGTGGCATGGGCAGCTTGCATGTCTGGAAAGGCACCATTAATGCAGAGAACTATGTTCAGGTTCTAGAACAACATATGCTCCCATCTAGACGTCATCTCTTTCAGGGAAGATCCTGCATTTTTCAACACGATAATGCCAGACCACATTCTGCAGCAATCACAACATCATGGCTACGTAGAAGAAGGATCCGGGTACTGAAATGGCCAGCCTGCAGTCCAGATCTTTCACCTATAGAGAACATTTGGCGCATCATAAAGAGGAAGGTGCGACAAAGAAGGCCCAAGACGATTGAACAGTTAGAGGCCTGTATTAGACATGAATGGGAGAGCATTCCTATTTCTAAACTTGAGAAACTGGTCTCCTCTGTCCCCAGACGTCTGTTGAGTGTTGGAAGAAGAAGGGGGGATGCCACACAGTGGTAAAAATGGACTTGTCCCAACTTTTTGGGGATTTGTTGATGCCATGAAATTTGGAAACAACAGATTTTTCCCTTAACATGATACATTCTCTCAGTTTAAACTTTTGATCTGTGATTTGTGTTCTATTCTGAATAAAATATTAGATGTTGGCACCTCCACATCATTGCATTCAGTTTTTATTCACAATTTGTTTAGTGTCCCAACTTTTTTGGAATCCGGTTTGTATTTGAAAAGTATATTTATGTTCCCTACCCAACATATATTCAGCTAATACCCGCAGTCTAGAAATTTTTTGGCAAAGTTCTGGCCACCATTTTTTGTTGTAATTTTAGTTCTTAGACTGATATTTTAGCCCTTTTGAAGTGGAGTTCTGTGAAAATGATTTTAAGAAATAATATCTTACAGATACAGTAATTTGCTTCCATATGAAAACAACTAATCCCAAACATTTCTTAGTGGATCATGCAAACAATATTTTATAACCTATTCCACCGCTGTCATTTTCACCATACAAAAGATCCATTACTACACTGAAATTGTCCTAACAGCAACAAACAACTTATTTCTGTTAAAAGTAATATAAACGAGAGAAATTGCATTTCCTGCAAAAATGCAGTGTGAATGCTTATTGCTGAAGAATTTGCTGAAAAAACAGCTAAAATTAGCTAAAACATGCTGAAATGTAGCTGAAAGGAAAGCACAAGCCTACGTTAGCAGAAGAAAGCAAAGAACATATATTTGCTGAATTAGGTTTAAATAAGCAGAAATGAACCCCAAAATTTGGAAATTAGCTAAAAAATAAAAAAAGCTGAAATGAGCTAAAATTAGATAAAAAGTAGCTGAAAAGGCAGAAAGAAGATAAAACTATCAGAAGGGAGTGGAAGGAAATGAAATGAGCTAAAAAATAAAAAAAATGTGGAATTAGCTGAAAAAGCTAAAATTAGCACATAACAGCTAAATAGCAGAAAAAGCTGAAACTAGCAGAAATAAGCTGAAAGGAGCATAGCAAGCTGAAATTAGTAGAAATAAGTTAATTAGGCTGAAAGTCGCAGAAATTACCACAAAAAATTGAATGTATCTGCAAACAGCCAAAATTAGCTAAGAAATGCAAAAGAGTTAGCTGAAAAGGTAGAACAAGTGTAAATTAGCAGAAGGAAGTGGAGAGCACAATTTTGCCCAATTGGGCTGAAAGAAGCAGAAATGAGCACAAAAAAAGTGGAAATTATCTGAAAAAGCAGACACAAAATAAAAATCAGCTGAAAAGTAGCTAAAAAGAAAAATAAGCTTAAATTACTAGAATGAAGTGGAGAGAGCACAGTTTTGCTGAATTAGGCTGAAAATAGTTGAAATGAGTGCAAAAAACGGGGAATAATTGAAAAAGCTTAAATTAATATAAAAATAGCTAAATAGTAGCTGAAATATCAGAAAATGCTGAAACTTGCAGAAATAAGCCGAAAGGAGTATAACAAGCTGAAGTTAGCAGAAAGAAGCTGACAGCAGCACAAAATAGCTGGAAAAAAATCCCTAGCTGAAAGTAGCTGAAAAAAGTTTAAATTTGCACAAAGAAGCTGAAAGAAGCAGAACAAAATGTGAAAGGAGCAATAAAAGGTTGTAAACGGATCTCAAGATTTGAAGGATGGAAAATGAGCTCAATTCATTTTCTATGAGAAAAAAATGACAGAAAAGCCTAAATAGTTCAAAAAGCTCAAATTGCAACAATACCAAAAGTCATAGCAGGATTGTCCTGAAAGAGCTGAACGTTTTGAATTGTTGAAATAGCTCAAAAATTGTGTAACCAGAAAAATGCTGAAAAATATACGAAAGAAAAATGGATCACAATAGTGTGAATACTTCATAAACATTTACACAATTAAAAACAATTGTTCTAATTCTACCATTAGAGTTTGTGTAACCGCTATAAGACATTTTTTTTTAAGATTGGAGTTTTTTTTACTAACTTTGCAATCCACTTTGGTCTTGACTGTTCAGACTAGCTGTGAGCTCTTCCGTCCTGTTGGATGTAAATTTTATTTCTCCAATCTGAGGTCACTCAAAGATCTGTCTACAACAAGTAAAAGTCTAATATGCACAACTTTTTCACAAAATCCCACTTCCAAATGGCCAGACTATCCCTTTAATGTTGCACTGATGGCCCAAAATATTTGATAAAGATTCTATTATATATATATATATATATATATATATATATATATATATATATATATAAAGTGCTGGCAGTGGATTAAAAAATCTGCAACTTCCATCCAAGCATTTGAGACATGAAACACACTTTATCCAGATCGTCCTGTTTTATGGAGGGTGTGCAAGTGGCGGCCAAATAGGAAAACTTTGATCCAGTCACGCCAACATACCCCCCCCCCCCCCCCCGGCATGGTGTGATTCTCATCACACAGATCACATCTTTTCTGGACGTGTGGACCGTGCTGGTGTGGTTAAACAGCCCCTGCCAGCTTTTATTTTGAAAGCACCATGGAAGTTTAATGAGTTCATTCTCACATTAGTCTAAGGTATTTTGCAGCTGTATTTTTTTTTTTTTTGGGGGGGGGGGGGCAAATAATAGAAGAGCTATGTCTAATAATTATTTTAATCATCTTTCTTGACCTTTTCATTCAATAAGTAAACCATAAAATAGTAAAGAAAACTAAAAGTTAATGCATCACACGTCAACACTGTTTGCACTTTCTGAGTTTGTGTGCCCTGTCGCAGAGCGGAGAGGGGATTGGAAATACCCTCTGTCCATCTGTTTGTGCACGTTGTGAGCACGATAACTTGAAAAATAAGCACGGTACCAACTTCCTTTTTGGTGTGCGGCTGCATCTAGGCGTAATAAAGTTTCCTTTTTAAAATTGTCTTGCCACATGAATATCCAGTCGAGAAAAACACTTGTTTCAAGATTTACAAACATTTGTTTTTGTCGTATTGCTTGCCTTATATAAAAATAACTCTTTAATTTTCTGTCTGCAGAGTAAACTAAAGTGTAAAACAGAGAAGTCGACGTTTGACTGGATTTATTTCTCATGATCATTACATAGTAATGTGCAAAAGTCTTGAGCCACCTCATTTTTCTGTCGGCTTCTACTGTTTTAGTGGAAAGCCTGACTGTTTGGTGTGCTGTGGATTCCTAAAAAAATGAGAAAAGTGGATAAATACAGGACAAAAGTAGACTTAACAAATTTTCCAGCTGATAAATGGTAATGCGAAAGTTGTGTTTTTTAAGAAACGGGGGGGGGGGGGACATTGAAGACCTGAGAGAGGAGTTCAACGACACATCGTCATTCACTTGACCAAGTTTTCAGCTAGTTGCTCTTTGGGAATAACACGTTTTCTTTTGTTGTTAGACTCTTTGCTGGTACCAAACATCCTATTTAAATTTCTTTATGTGTCGACACAACACACAGGTTCATCCTTAAGTTTAGGAGCCTTCCGTATTGATCCATGGGCCAAAGTAAAATGATTGTAAAACAACAAAACATCTCTTAAAAATGGACAAGAGTCTAAGAGAACATGAGTAGGTCCACTTTAATAAATCTTCTAAAAGACTTTCAGAAAGTCTGAAAAATTGTTATTTAAGACTATTTAAAATTACATAACATACCTAAAGCTAAATATAAACGGTAAATGGACTGTACCTTTATGGCTTCTTTCTATCTAATCAAGATACTCAAAGCTCTTTACAACACAATCTGTGCCCTCATTTACCTCCACACACACATTCATACAGCTCTCTACTACATCTCTACAAAGATAATCTGAATCTGTACAAACACTAATCAGTGCTTTTAATAACATTCATACACTGATGGGACACACATCGGTGGCAATTAGGGGGTTTAGTTTCTTGCCCAGGGACACTTCAGCATGTGACTGCTGGTGGAATCGAACCCCCAACTCTCCCATTGGAGGACGACTGCTCTAACCACTCAACCACAGCTGCTCCTAAATATAAAGAAACAAAAAGTGGCTCAACTTTTGTACGTAATACCAAATGTTCCAATTTGATACCCAGCTTGTTTAAAAAAATAGACAATTCATTCAATTCAATTTATTTATTTAGCACCAAGTCACAACAGAAGTCGTCTCAGGGCACTGAACAGAAACATTCATATATAAAAATAATAACATTATTTATCTAAGGAGCAGACTGCTCCATCACAGAACTCTCATCTTGAGCAACGCATGAAGGCAACAGTGGAAAGGAAAAACTTCCTGAAGAAACCTTTTGCAGAACCAGACTCAGGACAAGCTGCCATCTGCTTCGACCAGCTGGGTTTGAGAGGAACAGGAAGGAGGAACAGATACACAATGGCAGGTCAAGAATCACTTTAAGATTGAGATAGTATCAAATGAACTTTTCAATTTTAGCAAATCATTTAACGAAATTAGATTAATTTGTCCTCTAGTAGTCTAAGCATCATAACAAGCCCACCCTAACTATAGGATTTATCAAAAATAAAAGTCTTAATCCCAGTCTTAAAACTGGACAATGTGTCAGCCTCACGGACAGAAACTGGAAGTTGGTTCCATAAGAGAGGAGCCTGATAACTGAAAGATCTTCCTCCCATTCTGCTCTTGGAAACTCTAGGGACCACAAGTAAACCTGCAGCCTTAGAGCAAAGTACTCTGTTAGGAAAATCTGGAACAAAAAAAAATCTCGGCTTTAAGATGGAACTAGGTTGTTGAGGTCTTTGTAGGTTAGAAGTAAAATTTTGAATTCAATTCTGGATTTGACATTCATAACCTTCCAAAATTTATCTGATAAACTAATCTAAACTTGATCCATTAGGACAAGTCAAACTGCTGAAGACAATGACCTAAAAGACCTGAAAGTACTAGAGAAAATGCACACGCACTGCTAACTTAGTCTGTCAGGGCAAAACTTAGAAATAAAAAAAGCACCAAACAGAAAACTCTCTTTAAAAAACACAATAAACTCTAAAGATTAAATAAGACACAATTGTTTCTTCATCTGAGCTGTGGCTCACCAAAGCTCCTCATATTAGCATCCAACACCAAACGTTCTTAATGTAGCTGAAAGAACATTACAGGGTGGAGCAGCGGCCATTTCCCTTCAGCAGGAACGTGTGCTGAGCTGCACTTCGCAGCTGACTGAAGCCTTCCCTCATTCCTTTACACTTATTAACCCATCTCAAATCTCTTCACAGGCGTGTCACGCCCGGCAACAGGAAACCACCAAGCTGAACAGGAAGTACAGTTTGACAGAAAGGTAAACTGCCTCCTTTGGCAATAACTTTTATTTATATCTTATCAGGGGCTTTTATAACGGAGCAGACCCACTCGTACTTTCTCCACTTCAGTGAGAGTCTCCTGAGGCTTTAGGTGGGGTTGGCTCATTGTGCACCGGAGGAAACCCCACTCAGTCACGCCTGGCTGTGATCTGACTCTAATGAGCTCCAGTTGAGTGGAGCAATCATCCGTGTTCAAAATGTGACCATAATGACGTGTAGTTGGACCTGTGTGGGCATGTTGGAGGACATGCATGACTTGTGAAGGGGTCTCTGCGCGTATTTGACCTGAGGAACACAATTTGATGAACATGGAAGGCAAAAAGGAAACATTTACTGTAATCCAACTACATTAAACCTCCAAAAGTCCCAGTAAAAATGTGCATTTACCTTAACTTTTAACCTGTTCAGTTGTTTTTTTAGATGAATGTTTAGCTCTAAAGTTCAGATGTTTTGAAAAGGGGTTTTACAGAAAAGTTAGTATCAATTAGAAAACTGATATTTCCTGTGAAAATGCAGAGTGCATGCTGAATGAGTGTGGCTGAACGTTGCTGAAGAAGCTGAAACCAGATTGGTTTGAAGGCCAAACTGTTAATGCACGTTGAATTTGAACAGCTGACATTTGCAAAAAGCACCAAAATAAAAGCAGAAAGTAGTAGCTCAAAAAGCTCAAATTAGCAAAAAATAAAAAAATAATTTAAAAAAGCTGTAAAAGCTGAAATGAGCAAAAAAGGCTGGGATTTGGAAAGAAATTGCTGAAAAGGCCAAAAAAAAGGGCGGAAATTAGAAGAAAGAAGCTGAAAGCAGCATGAAAAGTTAAATTATTAGAAAGAATCACAAAAGGCAGAAATTTGCTGAATAAATGGCAGGAAAACAAAGACTAAATTAGAAACATACCTAAAAAGTAGCAGAAAAAGCAAACAAAAGCCAAGCTTAGCAGGAAGAAGCTGAAATTAGCAAAAAGAAAGCTGAAAGGAGCAGAGAAATGGCAAAAAATAAATAAATCACTGAACTAAAAAGAAGTTAAAAGGAGCTGAAGGTCGCTGAAATGAGCACTAAGAAGCTGAAAAAAGCTGAACCAGTACAAAAAGTGAAAGGATCAGTAAAAAGTTTTAAACAGCACTAAGAGTCCATTCATTTTCATAGAGAAATGCGGCAGAAAAAGCTAAATATTTCTGAAAGTAAAAGTTGTACAAATACCAAGTCACAGCAGGAATATCCTGAACGAGCTGACTGTTTGAATATATGATTTGTTGAAATGGCATAAAAGTTGCAGAGTGAGTCGTACAGTAGTCCCCTTGCTACTTCGCAGTTCGTTTATCGCAGATTCACTCTGTCGTGGTTTTTCAAAATAAGATTGGACGTGGAACACAACTGGCTGATTGATGGATGAACTGCACGATCAACATGAAATTTTTATTTAAAATAAATTATTTAAAAGTTTTTAGCACCAGCTGCACATTTACGCAGCCCAGAGCTGCAGAAAAAGCTTCCTCTTGCAGCTTTGTGCAGCCCACACTGCTGCAGGATAAACTTCCTGCTGCTGTTAAACAGCTCATCAGCTGTTGAGTGTGCAGAGTGGAGAAGTGGGCGTGGCCAAGAACGCTTGCAGGAGGCAAAGAGCAGAGGAGGCAGGGAGCTGAAATCATGACATTCTGTGGCCTTTCTGGGTGGAGTTTGCATGTTCTCTCCGTGCTTGCGTGGATTTTCTCCTGGTACTCTGGTTTCCTCCCACAGACCAAAAACATGCATGTTAGGCTGATTGGTAACTCTAAATTGTCCCTAGGTGAGTGAGAGAGTGAATGGTTGTTTGTCTCGTTTGTCTCTGTGTGGCCCTGTGATGGACTTGCAATCTGTCCAGGGTGTACCCCGCCCCTCGCACAGTGATTGCTGAACATGGGCACCGGCGACCCCCATGACCCAAAATGGAAGAAGCGGATAAAAGATAATGGACGGATGGATGGAATATACTGTAGATCTATAAAAATAATAAAATAAACTACTACTTACTACTTGTACTACTAATCCTACTTGGTGGTTTTTCACTTATCGCGGGTCTTCAGGGTACGGATCCCCCGCGATAAACGAGGGACTACTTACGGTATGCCAAAAAATATACATAAGAAAAATGGATCTCAATAATGTGAAAGCTTTATAAGCATTCACACATTTAATATCTTAACTGGTGTAGATGGCTCTTTAAACTACCTCAGTTTGGAGAAATACAGTAGTGATTATTTCTGGATAAATTGACAGGCTAACAGCTTTTCTCAGCAGAACCAAACCGAAGAGGGTTGCTGCCATCTTCAAACAGCTCCAACCTCAGAAAGACTTTAGCAGTTCGTGTTTGTTGGCATTGAAATTCATCAGATTGGAGGAGTTTTAAATTGGCAGCAATCCACTTTGGCCTGGACCTGCAACTTGTTACAGTTTGAAGTACGTGTTGAGAAGTACTCTCAACTACTACCACATCAAATGTCAGCTAACTGTCTGTAAAACTGGGCAGCGTTTGCTAATGTCAGTTAGCTGCGGTGGCGATCTTGAATGGCCACCACATCCATTGATTACTTTTAAGAGTTTCATTGTCCATAGTCATTTTGTGTTGGGCAATATTGATTAGTTAAGGCAGCCATCTTGAATATGGTGCACTCCAGGGATTACTTACTGAACATTTTATTAAAATCCATCCACTGGTTTGAGTCAGGCTTAATTGTCCCCCATCGTGAAGCGAAGTGAGGAATTGAAAATACCTTCTGTCTGTTTGGCTGGCTGAGCTGCCATCTTGTGAGCTAGAAAACTTGAAAAACCAAATGTGGTACTAACTACCATTTTAGTGTGTTGCTGCATTTAAGCATAAAAAATGCCCCTGTTGAATAATTGGGTTGCCGCATTAAAATACAAGATGGCTGCCACCATATATGTTTATGTAAACCGACCACCCCCATCATTTGAGGAAACTGTACATTCTATTTTTATATTGCCTAAAAGAATAGTTTCCTCAAATGATTGGGGTGGCCGAAGATTAATCTGTGGTGGCCAAGGCCACCATTGGCCACCCCCTAGCTCCACTATTACGCCTCAACTGCACCCTCTGCTCACCTGGATCCATCACTCTGTTCTGCCTCGGGACATCAACATATATCTTGTTATTCCTGCAAATTCTGGGAAATTGTAGCTAAATGTAAAATATTTTAACAGTTATGACTGGTTTAAGATTATAAACCTTTTTTTTTTTACCTGGAGGTCTTTAAATATGTTTAAAAGGCTCACTGAATGTTGTCTGTGGAATAATGAAGTGTTTTGTTGTTATTTATTTATTTCATGTTAGAGACTACCCAAGTTGCAGGCGGGAGTCCAGGCCCCCTCAGAGCTTCGGTCAGCAGCAGCATCACCTCCATCAGGCTCAGTGGGACTCCAGACGGACTGACAGCAGCAGTGGCGATCGAAACGGTTACGCCTTTGCTCCTCCGCCGGCTCCTCTCTTTCTTCGAGGACGAGCCATGTCTGAAAACGACCTCCGCTTTGAAAGCAGCCACCGCTGGTCTCCGTCTCTGTTCTCTGCAACCAGCCAGATGCTGAGCGAGGTGGAGGAGGCAGGAGACTCAACGAGTCCTGCCAGGCAAAGCAGGAAGAAAGCTCCACCCAGGCCGCCGCCCCCCAAGTGGGAGCAATTCCACCGCCGACGTGCATCTCACCACGCCCTGCTTTCTTCCTCTTCCTCTTCTGCTGTCGCTCCTCTCTACATCCCAGACTCCTTCAACATCTCAGAGGGGCAGTATTCAGCTCGTTCCTCCTCCTACGTCCCTCCACCGGAGACAACTCGACAGAGGTCCTACAGTTTGCCCCCAGAGAGGCAGGAAGTCACAGAGATCTGCCCTCGGTGCAGCTGCAGCCAAACTCAAACCCAGGAGCGCATGTATGAACATGCCCCATCCAATCAGAATCCAGCTCAGTTTCAGCAGCACCCTTTCACCGTGGCTCCGCCCAGTCCCATGTTCTCCACGAAGATGTTCAGACCTGTGGCTCCGCCCCATCCAGAGAAACTGGACCCTCCACCTCAAGCTGAAACCACCACAAGCAGGTGAGCTGAAGAGTCTCACATTTACATCAGACCAACTAAACGTTTTGATATAAAAATAAAAAAAACGGCAGCTTTTTTTTAATCTTTTAATTTCAAATTCATTTAAATATTTGGTGAACGGAATTATGTCCAAGCATTTATCAAGGAGTACCAGAAAAATGATCCTTTTTGACTAAAGTTGTTCAAATAACAAGAGTCTCTAAAGGCTTTTTGGAAAAAATAAATGAAAATTCTTTGTGACTAAATTGAGACTGACTTACAGATCAGTTGCAGAAATGCTGCATGAATGTTGCAATGTATTTACATTTACATACCAGCGATGAGTAATGACATTATTATTGACGTCTACCATATTTTCTAAACTTTAAGTCACAATTTTTTTTTCATAGTTTTGCCAGTCCTGCGACCTGTACTCCGAAGCGACTTATAGTCTGGAAAATACGGTAGTTAAAACAAGAAAATTTGAATTATTGCAACAGCCACAACCGCTAAGTTGTTTTCTGACAGTGCTTTTCCATTCAGTGTCCTTTTTTGGACTCAACACCTACTGCCCACCTACAAAAAAAAAACTACACTGAGTGCCCCAGCGTCTGTTCCATTCAATTTTATTTTGAAAGGATTACAAAGTGGACGTTATGCTCACGGGTGAGCTCAGCATTACTGTTAGAATATGTGCTATTAGATCAGTGAAAGTGAAGGATGAGTTGTCTGAAATTTGAAAATAAAATTTAAAAAAATTGTGAAAAATAAAAACTACCGTATTTTCTGCCGTACACATCACACCACCCTATAAGTCGCATCAGTCCAAATATGTCTAATAAAGTGGGGGAAAAAAATCCATAAATACGTTGCTTCGCCGTATATGCCGCATCTATTATGCGTAACCTCTGACGCGTTGCGTTTGTTACATGTCACCGCTGACAACCCGGAAATGTGGGCCGGTGTTGTGCCAAAAATCTATGGGCTGCCAAATGGCGACCGCAGGAGCGTGCATGGGAGGACTTAAGAATTTAACAAGATTAACACTTAAAAACAATTATTTGTTTGCCCAAAATTATAGTAAATGTGTGTCTCAGTCTAACTTTTCCTTAATAAATGCACTTTGACGGTCAAATCAGCTGCATTTTCAAAAACCGATTTGCGGAAACATGAATGCACAGAGGGCGACTGTCACTTTTTTCAAAAAGTAACAAGATAACCACTTAAAAACAATTATTTATTTTTTTTGCTCCACTTTATAGTAAAGGTGTGTCTCAGTTGAAAAATGCACTTTGATGGTCAAATCAACTTCATTTTTCTGGGGCGGCGCAGCGAAATGAAGTTGATTCAGTTGCTCCAGGCAGATGACGGTGGCCGTGTATGGCAAGCTAATTGTGTCATTAATAGCCGCTTTTACCCATTACATGATACAACGGCATGCCATACTACTCAAGCGCCATCTAGCGGCTGAAAATATTAGTGTGCAATATTTTCATTCAGCGTGAATGAAAACGGTCATGTCTCAGCCAAAAATTGGTTTATAAATATGGGAAAAAATCCATAAATAAGTCGCTTCAGCGTATAATTTGTAGGGCATGCAAATTATGCAAAAAACTGACTTATAGGCCAAAAAATATGGTATCTTAAAACCAAAGAGTTTATTTAGCTGTGGATCAAAGTAATTGATATGATTGGCTGGTGCAGGCAGAGATAGAGGTTTTCTTTGGGAAAATAGAATTACCAGTAGTTAAAACATTTTACTTAAAGTGACAGTTCAGATCCTTTGAAGCCTGTGAATCAACAAATTATGCATTTATCTTTCTGTAGGAAAGGTTATAAACAAGCATTATCTTACCTGTTGTAGATCGTTTTTTGACTGATCTTGGGATTGTTCTTAACAAAACGTTTGAGTTAGCTGTTAGTTCAAAATTAAACTTTATTTCTGCAACTGTGGTGGTTTAAAGAAACCATCTGCAACAGGTAAGATATTGTTTATAATCGTTTCACAAAACCGCACTTTAAAATATCTAAAGTACCACTTTAAAACGAACTTGAAATATTTTATTTTCTTCTTGTTAGTGTAGTATAAATCCTCTCAATGTGGACTAATTTAATCCTCACTGCAGCAGCAAACAACAACACGGAGGAAAAAATGTGAGGGAGAAAAATCAGTGTGATGACGAGCTTACCAGAGCAGCCAGACTTTATATCTCCATATGTCCCAAACAACCACTGAAAAAAAAAACACATTTAGAATAATAAATACTCACAAAGGGAGGGAGTTGGATCCAGGATGGAAATATAATGAGCTGTTTTAAAGTCTGCGCCTTAGATTTCTCTTTTGGCTTGTGCCGAGGTACAGAAGCTACCCGAGGTTTCTGTGGAGGAGGAGAGAGAGAAAGGTAGAGAGAGGTTGATCAATTTGTCTTTCAGTTTTACACAAGCTTAGAGATAATTAAATTACTGACGGTCCAAACGGTAAATTTACTGAAGTTTCAGTGTTTAAAAACATAGGAGAAAAGTTATCTTTCAGCAGCTCAACGCTTTTCTAAAATACATACCTGTTCATCTCACATTTATTCAATCCAGTTCAGTTTATTTATAAAGCACCAAGTCACAACAGAAGTCATCTCAGGGCACTGAACAGAAACATTTATTTATATAAAAAAGTAAGTTAATAATGTTATTTATCTGAGGAGCAGACTGCTTTGAGTCAACTCCATCGCAGAACTCTCATTTTGAGCAAGCACGAAGGCGACAGTGGAAAGGAAAAACTCCCCTCATGAGGAAGAAACCTCCAGCGGAACCAGGCTCAGGACAAGCTGCTTCGACCGGCTGAATATTGATTTGAAGGGACAGGAAAGAGGAACAGATGCACAGTGACAGGTCCAAGTCCATCAGGTTTTCTCTAGGAGGAAAAAACAGAACTCCCATGTTCAGAAAGGATCATTACAAATACAAACTGTTCATTTGATGAAATGAGGTCAGTTTGTTCAAGGTTCTTTATTGTCATTCACATCACATGTAGTACATGAGGTGGAACGAAATTGTGTACTCAGTTCTCCAGTAGTCTGTTATAGCAGCATAGGATAAGATACATGTCAGGAAGCCAAGCTGACTAACTATAGGATTTATCCAAAAGGAAAATCTTGGACGATGTGTCTGTCAGCCTCACAGACAAAAACTGGAAGTTGGTTCCACAAGAGAGGAGCCTGATAACTGAAAGATCTTCCTCCCGTTCTGCTTTTGGAAACTCTAGGAGCCACAAGTAAACCTGCAGCCAGAGAGCGAAGTGCTCTGTTAGAAAATATGGAACAATAAGATCTGTAATATAAGATGGAGCTAGGTTGTTGAGAGCTTTGTAGGTTAGAAGTAAGATTTTGATTTATATTCTGGATTTGACAGGGAGCCAGTGGAGAGAAACTAAAACTGGAGAAATATGATCTCTCCCACTAACTCCAGTTAAGACTCTGGCAGCAGCTTTTTGTATTAACTGAAGACTTTTTAAAGAAGTATATGGACACCCAGATAATAAACCATCGCAATAGTCCAGTCTAGACGTGACATGAACCAGTTTTTCTGCATCATTTTTAGACGAGATGTTTCTAATTTTAGTGATATTACGCAGGTGGAAGAAGGCTGTTCTAGTAACGTTTATAGTTTCATGAGCTACTTTTCAGTGACAATAAAATGCAATGTTAAATGTTGTCTTTATGTAAACCAACTTTCAGTGTGAAATCAGCATTTCTTCTGGTGAAATGTCTTCATGTTTCAGCTCTTCTGAGTTTAAAAGAACTTTGTAAGTTTAGGAGATTTTTGTCTTAAACCTTATTCTGAGTTGAGTGCTGTGGCCCTCGGTGTTTGTAACTTTCATATATTTCAAAAATATGTTGCTGTATTTATATTAACCTGTCAAAACACATTAAGATCTCTAATTCATCCAAAAACACAGTTCTCTGTGAAATCTGCTTCTGCTCTAATTTTGTCTGTCTTTAACTTCTTAGCTACTGTTCTGCTATTTTAGCTCTTTAGCTTTTTGCAACTTTAGCGTTTAACTGACCTTTTGCTACGTCTCGCTACTAGCTAGCCTGTTTATTCTTTTAGTCTGGCTGCTGTTATTTTAGGATTTTAGCTGCTATTACTTTTAGCTTTTAGTTAGCTACATTTAGTTAGTGGTCTGCTTCTTTTAGCATTTGGCTACTGTTTTGCATTTTTAGCTTTAACGACTCATTTTCAGCTTCTTCGACATTTATGCTGCATTTTCTGCAAAAATAATTATCTGATGTATGATGTCTCTGCAGTTCACATGTGATGGACATGAACCATAGTCCAGATCAGGACCGGGTAACGATGAAACCTCACAAACCGCAGCCCAGCGTAAGGCCAGGTGCCGAGTGGGAGAGAACTCCATCTCCCAGAGTTCATAGCAACACAACACCATCTAGTGCTGTAGAAGATGGGAGTGTCAGTAGAAGTTGTCCTGCTGAGTCTTACTTCAGTCAGATGGACTTCCAGCAGCAGGTTTGTATGGACAGAGATCTCCAGGAGGAGGAGCAGCAGAACCTCCTCGAGCCAGGGGCAGAATCAGAACCGACCCTGAGCCCAAGCCCGGCTCACAGCCTGGAGGTGGACCTGGAGCTGCCCTTAGAAACGGATATCGATGATTTCCAGGAGGAGGAGCTCCCAGCAGAGGACGTGCCCCTCACCAGTGAGCTCCCGTGCTTCGCTCAGCCCGTCACGGTTCTGGAAACGGACATCGACCTGGTGTCGGATCCAGAGGTGTCGCTGTCCGGAGAAATTCCAGCAGAGAGCAGCTCTCTGGAGGAGCTGGAGTCGGAGGAGAGCTGCAGAGAGAGGCTGAGCCTGGAGGAGATGTTCCCCCCGAGCAGTGAGGGGGAGTCGGGCACGGAGAGCTGGAGAGGAGCCTTCCAGCCTGTGGAGCACAACACCGACAGCCTGGACAGGTACAGAGTCCTACCTGCTCTGATTCAGGCCCACTGAGCCCACGTCGTGTTCTTATTTACCTTTATTTACTCAGCCCGATCCACGCAGGTCACAGATCTTTGTCATTTCTCTACAAAAGGTCTTAGTTTAAAATTCCAGCACGTATGCCTCGTGTCTGTTTTACACCTCGGTCTTTGTGTTTGTAAAGCGTCCTCCTGACGTTTCCCTCTTCAGACTCTCCACTGCGAGCTCCAGCTGTTCATCTTATTACCAAACATCAGCAGCCAAGGCTCAGCTTCTGTCGCAGATGAAGGACGTCCCGCAGAGCCGGGAGCAGGACGAGGACGACGAGCTGGCCTACAAGGTACCAACAATGTGACGGTGCAGAGTTAGCAGACGCGTTTCGCTGCGAGTTGTTTCAACGGTTGTTGCGTCGTCGTGCAGAAGCAGCTGATGGAGAGTCTCCGGAAGAAGCTGGGAGTCCTGAGGGAGGCTCAGAGAGGACTGCAGGAGGACGTCAGAGCCAACGCACAGCTGGGAAACGAGGTGGACACGAACATTTAAATAACCTGTGCATGCGTGTGTTTACTCATAGCAGTGTGTCCCATACCATTAACACACCCCCCCCTCACCACCATGAAAAGACTTCAACCTTTAAACCTCCTCAGGTGGAGAGCATGGTGGTGTCGGTGTGTAAGCCCAACGAGGTGGAGAAGTACCGCATGTTCATCGGCGATCTGGACAAGGTGGTCAGCCTGATGCTGTCCCTGTCTGGGAGGCTGCTGAGGGTGGAGACGACACTGGATACACTAGACTCTGAGACGGAGGAGCACGAGAGGGTGAGGAGGAGGATCAGCAGGGGATTTGATGTTTTGAAGTTGAGCTCTCCTCAGTGTGGTTTTAAAAGCAGAAAAATCCCACAGACCAAAGGAGAGGAGACTCTTTACAACACTTTAACAATTAAAGGCCTTAAAGTTCATGAATGAATGCATGTCACCCTCCACCTTTCACTCGTGGGCACTGGGCTCCACAATAATCAGGGCTCTGTGTGTCTCTGTCCTCTAGCTCCCACTGCTGGAGAAGAAGCGTCAGCTCATGAGACAGCTGTCTGAGGCTCAGGACCTGAAGGACCACGTGGACCGCAGAGAGCAGGCTGTCAGCCGAGTTCTGGCCCGCTGCCTCACCCCAGAACAGCACCGAGACTACAGGTGCCCACCACAGTGGTGGTTTATTCCCAACACACCTGAGCACTGTTCCATTTACAAGCTGTGATGAAGCATTCACACTATTGTGATCAGTTTTTCTTCTGTATAATTTTCAGCATCTTTCTCGTTCCACAGTTTTTGTGCTATTTCAACAAATCATAAATCAAAACGTTGAACTCTCAGAAGGGTTCTATGACTTTTGGTATTGATGCAACTTCAGCTTTTTGAAATATTTAGCCTTTTCTGCCACTTTTTTTGTTTTTGTCTCAGAAAATGTATTGAGCTCATTTTCCATCCTTCAAATCTTTAGGTCTGTTTCCAACCTTTTACTGCTCCTTTCACATTTTGTTCTGGTGCTTATTTCATCTTCCTTCTGCAAATTTAAATTTAAACTTTTTTCAGCTACTTTCAGCTGTTTTTTCAGCTGTTTTGTGCTCATTTCAGGATCTTTTTACTAACTTCTTTCTGCTAATTTCTGCTTGCTATTCTTTTTTTTAATTTTTTTATTTTTAGTTTATTTATGTAAGTTTCAGCTTTTTCTGCTATTTCACCTGTTTAGCTGTTTTATGCTAATTTTAGCTTTTTCAGCCTTCAAATAATTCCACTTTTGTTGCACTAATTTCAACTTTTTTCAGCCTAATTCAGCAAAACTGTGCTCTCTCCACTTCCTTCTTGTAATTTACCGGTAAGCTTCTTTCTGCTTTTTTAGCTACTTTTCAGCTGTTTTATGCTAATTTCAGCTTTTTTCAGATAATTTCCACTTTTGTACTCATTTTTGCTTCTTTCATCCTAACTGGGCAAACATTCATTCTTTCTGCTTTCGTATGCTAATTTAAGTTTGTTCTACTTTTTCAACTCACTTCTTAGCATATTTTAGCTAATTTCAGCTGTTTTCAGATAAATTAAAGTTTTTCATGGTAATTTTTGCTACTTTCAGCCTAACTAAATTATTTCTGCTAATTTCAACTTGTTATGCTCTTTTCAGCTTATTTTTGCTAGTTTCAGTTATTTCAGCTACTATTTAGCTGTTTTATGCTAATTCTAGCTTTTTCAGCTAACTCCATTTTTTGCGCTCATTTCAACTTTTTTCAGCCTAATCCAGCAAAAATGTACTCTCTCCACTTCCTTCTTGTAATTTAAGCTTTTTTAGCTACTTTTCAGCTGGTTTTTTTTTCTAATTTCAGCTTTTTTCAGATAATTTCCACTTTTGTGCTCATTTCCGCTTCTTTCAGCTTAATTGGGCAAACATTCATTCTTTCTGCTTGCGTACGCTAATTTAAGCTTGTTCTACGTTTTCAGCTAGCTTTTTAGCATATTATAGCTAATTTCAGCTGTTTTCAGATTATTTCAAGTTTTTCATTTTAATTTCTGCTACTTTCAGCCTAATTAAATTATGTCTGCTAATTCCAACTTGTTATGCTCCTTACAGCTTATTTCTGTTAATTTCAGTTATTTCAGCTACTATTTAGCTGTTTTCATGCTAATATTAGCTCTTTCAGCTAAGTCCATATTTTTTGCACTCATTTCAACTTTTATGTTTCTGCTTTCTCCTGCTGATTTATGCTTTTTACATTTTCGGCTACATATCAGCATGTTTTAAAGCTAATTTCAGCTATTTTTAAGCAAGTTATTCAGCATTAATCATTCACACACTGCAGTTTTGCAGGAAATGCAGTTTCTCTAGTTTATATTTTGTTTTCTTCTGCAGCCACTTTGTGAAGATGAAGGCGGCCTTGCTGGTGGAGCAGAGGCAGCTAGAGGACAAGATCCGGCTGGGGGAGGAGCAGCTGAGGGGGCTGAGGGAGAGTCTGGGACTGGGACTGGGACTGGGCATGGGAATGTCGATGGGATACGGACATTATTAACTCAACAATCAAAACAAGACATGAAGAAGAAGCAGCACTCCAAAACCAAACAAGAATTCAGAAAACAAAGTTAGCTCTTAAAAGAGTTAATTTGCAGCATTTTTTTAAAATGGCGGAGCTCGATCGCTACAGTTGTCTGATGACTCTAAAGCAACAAGTCATTAGCTTAGCCCAGCACGAAGGTAAAAACACTAAAGAGTCTGTCTGTGGATGAATGTATCCATGTACTGTACCACCACAGATCAAACTCATCTTGTATTCCAGCTCCTTCAGATGTAGCAACCCCACAATACTTCTGTAAGGAGCACTGAGAGAATTTAGGAAGACAAAAAATGATGGAATCATAATATCAGAGCTCAACACTAACAGAAGGTGAAAGAGGCGTTACAGCATTAAGAGTATTTCTCCCAAACAAATGGAACAAGAATAAACCTTGTTTTGCCCTTTTAAGACATTCCCTCGTGCCTGAAACATGTACTGTACCACTCTTGTTCTTATCTCACTTGTTGCCAAAGACTCGTCACTTGTACGTTTAACTCTCTCAGTTCAATGAACTACGGAGGTTTTTTTTGTTTGTTTTGGTGCTCGTTTTAATCACACTATTAATGCATTCTGCTCCACGTACACTCTATTTGTATTCATTACTGTAACGTTTGTGGTTTTACTTGTGTTGAGTTTGACACTCCACTGACTTCCTGCCACATATTGATGTGTATGTACAGAAGACACTTGTGTTTATTGTGTACAAAGTTTGTATATAATGGTTTAGTTCTTTGAAACGACTAGGATTAGCTATAAAGGATGGAAAAGGTGATCTGAAGCAGAACAGTCCGGTTTTTACTGTATATGTTGATGTTGAAGGAATTCAGAGAAGAGTTAGTGTTGAAAGATCAAGGGAAATTTTCTACATGACAATTTGCCATTTGTTGTATCTTAACTGTTTCTTCAGCTGACTTGTTTTATTTTATTTTATTTTTCTCCTTTTTTTACTGGAAAAGACACACTTTTATGTTAATATGGAGGCTCGGGTAAGATGGTGGACATCGCACTCTGGTGGCTTCTAGATGCTAAAAACGAGAACATTTTTAAAAAGTTCATTTTTGCATAAATACAATTGAGAACAGTTGCACAAAGCTACAATACATTGTGAAACATGTTTTTGAAAGTACAATGATTTAATGGGCAAAAATAAGTTGAGACAAAACACAAGAAACCAAAAACACACAAAAAAAATGAATATTCCAAATTTATTTTATTAGTTTTATTGTGTTTTGTCTTCGTTGTTTGTTGAAAAACAGAAACTGGAAGTGAGCGAAACAATTAGCCTGCATTGTCTGCCTGTTATTCTAAAAGAATAATCACACTTATGGGGGGAAAAAAAAGATTTTTAATTGAAATTTAGTGTAAAACAACAAACAAGGATGAGCTCCCAGCTAGCTTGCCTTATTACTAGTTATGCTTCCTGCCCATTTCCAGTCTGCTAACGAGTTTCAAAAGAGTATCTAGTGTCACATTTTAACAACTATTAAGCTCTAAATCAAGTTCTGGGACATTCACTTTATATACACAAATATATATATATATATATATATATATATATATGTCTTGAAAGTTTGGCAAGTATAAAGTCTTAAATGATTCTTATTGGTCACTTGTGTGTTTTAGCCACTTAGTCTTCACATGGTCAGTCGTGGGGTTTTTTTTTACGTATCCTCTCCATTCAGTTTTTTTGCAGTGTGTCACGTCCTGCATTTTTTGGGTCAAGGTATTTTAAAAATTTTGTTTGTTTTGCTATTGCCACCCACCAAACAAGTTTGTGATTGAGCTATATAGACAGAAACATAAAAAAAAAAAAAGTGGTTCATTCATCATCAGGATATCGACTACAAAAGCTGAAAACACATTTTTCCAATTAAATTGCTAAAAACTTTGACGGACCGTGATCTCTGGCTTTGTTGTTTTTTAACTTCACTGAAACCTGCTTTAACCAACGAGTAGGAGCTGATGATTTTAGTCAGTTCTCCATAATGCCACCTCTCTGTTAACCCTTTAAAGTCAATAAGAACTGAACACACCTGCAGCTCATCAAGTGAAAACAGCCTCTCTTGGATCACTGTTGTGATGTTCATGTTTCACCGGTTTAACATTAAAGTGAATTTATTCGAAGCCACGTTTACTTTTATTTACAGTTTTCTTTGCTGTTTTTACTGCCAAACAACGCAAGATGTTCACTTAAACCTGTTTGTTGTTTTATTCTGTATATTAAATGTATTCTTGTGCCATAACAGCCATTCTGATGGGAAATTAAAAGAACACAAGTTGTCTTTTGGACCAGCAAGAAAGTATACTCTGTTTGTGTGTAATTTTATTTTATTAAAAAAAATGTTCATGCAAAATCACTTATGTGAAGAAGAAGTACCATAAGTAATAATAATAATAGTATTTTAAACAAGCTTAGTGGCTCCTGTTGTGATTTATGCTCTCGCGGGTCTCTTCAGGGTCCGGCGCTGACATGCAGACCCTCCACGGGGAGGCTGCTGTATAAACATGGGGGGGTGATGGTTGAGTAAACATGGCCGAGAGCAAATGGAGGTTGACAGATGACAAGTTGAGTGCAGAGAGTCATTCAGCAGCTCTGCTGGAAGCAGTACTCGGGAGACATGTTGGAGAAATGTCTCGCCTGAACACTGATGGTTCTGCTGGGTTTGGGCTTCCTGAAAGCACGGGATGTGAAAACATGGAGGAGCAGAGGCCAAGCAGCTGAAAAGCTAGACGTCAAGATTAAATAAGTGGATAATGCCGGACCTGTTACTTTCTGAACTGAACCTGCCTTTCATTTGAACAGGAAGTGAAACGAACCAGTCAGGTTGTTTGGCGAGCACACAGACTCGTGTAGAAAGTACATCTCACACTTGTTTTGTGGGGTTTTGTGTTTAATCAAAGACAAGTTTCATCATGGCATACACAAAAATAACACCATTAAAAGGCACAAAGTGACGACTCAGCTCCAAGTTTAGACAAAACCTTAGACACAAAGCAACTAAGAAGAAATAATGGCCACAAAATTCAGAACGACTGTAAATATAGAGAAAATAATAATAGAGAAAACAGTCGCAGGTCAGTTACGTGATTTTCTGCAAAGAAATCTGTTTGAAGAATTTCAGTCCCGGTTTAGAGCTCACCACAAAACTGAATCTGCACTGGTGAAAGTTATTCTCATGGCCTCTGACAATGGACAGGTGTCTACACTGGTCCTGTTACACCTCGGTGCTGCATTTGATACGGTTGATCATAATATTCTATTACAGAGATTTGAATATGATGTTGGAATTACAAGAAAGGCTCTAAATTGGTTTAAATCATATCTATCTGATTGATTCCAATTTGTAAATGTAAATAATGAATCTATCATACACCAAAATTAATCATGGAGTTCCTCAAGGTTCAGTGCTTGGACCAATACTCTTTACCTTGTACATGCTTCCATTAGGTAATGTTATTAAACAACATGGGATAAATTTTCATTGTTACGATAATGATACTCGGTTAAATATTCTCAAAACAACTGCAGAGACAAGTGTAATTTAAAATTAATAGAAAATTAAAAAGGCACAATATTGCAACAAAAAGACAAAATGCCCAAAACGAAAACCAAAATAACCGCAGAGACTCAACAGAAAATGTAAAAGGGACCCCAGATATAAACAAAAATATAAACAAGGTAAAGCACAAACATACTTTTTTCATATGAAATATAAAATGCTAAACCAAATTTATTTTCTAAAATGCACAAGATTAAGACCCTCACCAACACACTGAGTCATATTGCAAGAAGATCATAAACTCCAATCACTTAAAAAAAACAATATGCTAAAAAAAAAAAAATTAATTACAAAACTAGTAAAAAACATAATATCAAAACAGAGAAAAGATTCTAATTACAAAAAACAAAAAATCCATAAATGTCCAAAAGAACAACACAACCACACTGGAGACCAAAAGACAAACACACACACAAAAAACAACAACAACAGGTTGCTTTGTTTGTTTGGGTTTGGGGGGGGGGGCACGTTAGTGCCCCGGGCTCCAACTTTTTTTTGTCCATCCATGTGTGAGTGTGAAAGAGTGGTTCACTTTTGGTGGAGTTGATGCTTCAAACTTTCCTTGGATATAATAAAATACACTTCAAACACATTACATTCATCAATATATATTTTTTTTCATTCAACCTTTATTTCTACAGGTAAATCCCATTGAGCCTCGAGGACTCATTTACAAGAGAGACCTGATTTCAACAAAGAAAGATGACAACAATGGACAACAGCGACAACAGTAAACAGTTATAAAAAGTCATACTACAGTTTTTTTATTTTTATAACAAATAGGATGGCTAAAAGAAAAAGGTAACAAAAAAAAAAAACAGCTAGATTCTAAGGCGAATGTAGAAAACTAAAAACAGGAACATGTCTGCATTGGACCCTGCCAGGAGTCCAACAGATTCTTAAAGCCACTTAGAGAGGTCAAAGGTCGAGAGCTTCAAATCTTTTTGTAAGATGTTCCAGGAAACAGGAGTGGAGTAGGAGAAGGCCCTCTTGCCTAGTTCAGTCCTCATTGAGGGAACACTGCAGGTAATAATGTCCTGAGAGCGCACGCTGTAGCTGCACTCACGCAGAGACATGTAGGAGGAGATGTATGAAGGCAGCAGACCAAGAAGTGATTTAAAGATGAAAATGTACCAGTGAGAGAGTCTGTGTGAAGTTAATGATGTCCAGTTAACCAGTGAATACAGGGTGCAGTGGTGGGTACGATAATCACAGCCAGTTATGAATCTTAGTGCACCATGATAGACAGCATCCAACATCTGCAGGGTTCTTGTAGGAGCGTTCATGTAAATAATGTCACCGTAATCAATTGAGGGAAGGAAAGTCACAGATACAAGGAGTTTTCTAGCATTCAGAGTTAGACAGGATCTGTTTCTGAAAAAGAAACCCAGTTTAACTTTCAGTTTCTTTACCAAGTTTTCCACATGGAGCTTAAAAGAGAGATGTGAGTCGACCAAGATACCCAAATATTTATAGGAATCAACAAACTCAATGGGGACACCATTTGAGGATAAAATCAGAGGAAGAACTGCTGGGACTGACTTCCTATTTGAAAAAAAACATCCCTTTGGTTTTGTCGGCATTTATTTTTATTTCTTGTGATTAATTAAAACAAGGACCAGAAGGTAGTTATCGCCACATCACAATATAGAGTTGCTCTTAATAATATTTTAACATTCTTTCAAAATTACTGTAGTGATATGAAATGTTTTACATAAGGCAGAAAGCTTTTACCATCATCAGTTCTGGAACTGCTAAAGATTTTAGACGAACAAGTTCAGATAAAAGAAGTGGAAAAGAGGAAATGAACGATGTGACCACTAGATGTCGCTGTGTATCTGCTGTAAAATACTCCAGTTATGAAGTGGACATGTCTTCATTTTGTTATAGGACACAGCTGCTCCTGAGACACAACTATTTTAACATGATATCCTACTGTACATGCTGAACACAGCACACTTTATCTGAACTAAAAGTGAGTTTAGATGTTAAAAAAAGACCCAATACAAAACTCACTTTGTCTATAGAGACGTATTATTTATTAAATGTTTCGAACAGTACTTAAATTAATTACATTTTTGTAATAAACTTATATCTCTGTTTACATTTGGATTCTGACTGTGGTCTGAGTGAAAAAGAGAGTCCAGGCAGGATGGAGTGGGTGGAGAAAAGTTTCAGGAGTGATTGTGACAAGAGTGTCAGCAAAGGTCAAAGGAAAAGTTTACAAGACAGTGGTGAGACCATAGCTTGGAGACAGAGACATGGACAAAAAGACAGGAGACAGAACTGGCAGAAATGAAGATGTTGAAGTTCTCCTTAGGAGTGACAAGGATGGATCAGATTAGGAATGAGATCATCAGAGGTACAGCACAGGTTGAACAACTGGGAGACAAAGTTAGAGAGACCAGACTGAGATGGTTTGGACATGTCCAGAGGAGGGACAGTGGGTATACTGGTAGAAGGATGTATATGGATGCAGTTAGAGAGGACAGATGACTTGCTGTGGTGAGCCCTGAAGAGGGAACAGCCGAAAGAAGAACTGAGGATGGTTCAAGGTCACCTCACCACTAAAACCATTGATACATTACCAATAAGTGAATGGAACTAAAATTAAGTGGAGAGACTGTAGTCCATGTGAGAATGCAGAGAAAATGACTGCTGAAGAAGCTGATCAAAGTTAAAAAAAGCTAAAAAAAAAAAAAAAAAAAGGCAAAAGTATCAAAATGATTGTTAAATGTAAAAAAAAAAAAAAAAAAACATTTGCTAAACACAGCAAAAAAAGTTAGCTAAAATGTAAAAGTAAAGAAACTTTAACTAAAAGATAAAATAATCAAAGCGCTCGCTAACAGTACTAATAGGCTGCTAAAGCTGTAAAATTAGACAAACAAAGCAAGTATACTGAAGGTTTTTAAAGAGGTAATATTTTTTAATTAAGGTAAACAGTTTAGTATAAAAGTTACAAAAATTCACAGCACTGATGATGCTATTGGTAAAATAGCACAAAGTATGCAGTAGTTATTGAAGAAGAAAAAAGTATGGAAAATATTGTGGATACTGAATCAGCAACTACCACAGACCAACTACAAACATAAATACTGCGCCACAGTCCCACTTAAAATAATGTAATAAAAATAAATAAATAAATCTTCACTCGACTAGTCATCCTGGAGTCCAGATTCAGTTTAATCAATACTCCTCGATCGAGAACGTTAAACCGGAAGTCAAGCGTGTTCTCGCTTCAAAATACGACTTGGCATTTGCGTGTCTTGATAACCATAAAGAACACGAGTAGGTGCAAAGAAAATTTTGACAGTAACATAAAATAATACGACGCATTTGACTCTAAAAGCTCTATATAATCGTAAAAGATGTGTCAAACTGTGAGGACACGGGGGTGAAAATTTGTAGGACCGCGAAAAAACCGGAAGTTGTAACTACGTACAGCTAGCTTAACGCTAGCTTAGCATCCGCTTTTTTTAATGGAAAAAAAAAAAAGAGGCAAGTCTGGTGAAAATGTATGTATTTTTTTTTGTATTTCATAGAGGCTGAGGGTATTGTTTTATGCATTTACTCTGATTTAATTATGATTTTTATTAGTGTGGAGAATGACGCAGGATTTGATCGGAGCGTTCAAGTTTGCTGTTGACATAAGCAGCCCCAGCTGAAGACGGCGGGGCAAATCCGAGTCACAAGACTTTTCCACTCCGCTGCACGGCCGCTTTCCACTACGAAGGTAAAACCCAACCAAGCTTTCATTATTATTGTCGTCTTCTTCTCTCCAGGTAAACCTCAACCATAGCAGCTGTTGACGCAGGAAACGTTTATCGAAGTTAGCATCTGGGACGCGTTGTTAACGTTTTCTTTGACAGCTCGTGCGCGTTAAGCTCCGGTGATAAGCAGCTTTTGTGTCGGACTAGTAAAAACCGCGGAAACGAGCTAGGAATAAAAGTGAAAAAAAAAACCGAGCGGAAGTGGTGACTAAAACTTCCCTTTTAACTAAAGACACGTCCTGTCATCGCTGCATACAATTATTAACTGGGCGAGAGGTGTCTTCTTCCTCGCGGCCGTCCCCTAATTTGTCTCCATGGACATTACTGAAGACAGAGAGACGCTGTCCTGACGTAGAGGCAAAATGTTAAAGTTTTGGACGAGCTCGCATCGAAAATATGCGTCGGGCAGCGATGGAGGTAATGGAGCCGAGGTGCGCTTCGGTCCCGCAGACGATGGAAGTTAAATGTGTCTTTGTTTTGTTGAGGCAGCTGCTGGAGCCATGGACAACCCGGGTTACTGCAGCGGCAGCTTCGACGGCCTCCAGCACCCCAGCGACGACGATGATGACGAGATGGTGGACATCGCAGGAGCCACGCTGGACTTTTCCACCACAGACGACGTCCCTCCTCTCAGCTCAGGTAAACTGCACCTTTAAGGCTTTAAAGCAGGAACGAGACAAAAACACTGCAGTAAAAGTGCAGCAGAGGATAAAACTTGATGAAATAAAGAGACAGACGCCAAGGTTGTCTGGATGGGTGAAAATGCTCATGTTTTCCTTTAGGCTACTCCTTTCTTCAGGGGTTGCCACATCAAACCAACTCGCACAAAGACTTGGCAATAATTGTTTTATGTCAGATGTCCTTCCTGACGCGACCACCGAGCTACCACAGCCCTCTGTGTGGAGCAGAGAGCTGCTGTCTAGGACGCTGTGTTGCCAGCTCTCGCGATACAAACGAGCAACCAGCTCTATGAAAACAAGCCCAACTGGCAACCCACCACATTGTGTACGACAGAGGCTGTTTTTAAACCGTATAAACATACATTTATTATGGGATTACACATAAACAACAGCAAAATTATGCTAAACACTTTGAATAAAACACTTTTAAGCTCTGATAAAAAAATACGTTGTGCATATGTAATTTTTTCTACATATTTATAAAAACAAAATCCTGAGATGTGCATGTGAATAGAGCTCCTTGGTGGTCAGCCACAGTATGAGTGTTTGGGGGGTGTGGCCTGTCACCTAACCAACTTGGACAAGAGCCATAAGCCCCCAGTATACTGCCGCGTATGTCTATACGCAGAGTACCCCCCAGGGCATGTCCATGCAAAGCTCAATTTTTACGTACGCAGTGTCGCACAATAAACCAATAAACTGCCCAGTGACGGACTGTTTTGTATGCGACACCAATGTATTAAAATCCCCTTCTTCACCCCTGATCCTGCCTTTTCTTTTGTTTTTTTGCCAAGAGGCAGTGATCTCTTCCTCCTCTGTTGATGCCATGACTGAAATGGTGAGAAATGAAGGAATTTGTCACGAGCAAATTAAACTCAGGTCCAGCGTGGCTGCGGGAGGGTCTGGAGATTTCCTGGTGTGCTGCTCTGATGTGTGGGCTGTAGAGCCAGCGCTCCCTGTTTTTTTTTTTTTTTTAGATCTTTTTATTAACAACATATAAACACAAAACCACTGTAGCAGCGCACGTTTTTTTCTCTCCCCGACCTGTCAATCAATCCAGTAGGCGTGTCAGCAAATGACCAATAGGCGACCTCAATTTGTCCCGAAGGTAAACGCCCCTTTTCTGTGAAGCTTCTCTGCAGCTGCTCAGGGTGGACGCTGGAGTACGAAGTCTCAACCCCCTGCGTACAATACACACGTACGTCCGTTCACACGTACGTACACGGCAGTATACTGGGGGCTTTAAACCGGAAACGGGGGCGTGGAAGGGACAAACTACCTACTAGGGCATTAACAGAGTACTCGAGTAATCTACACATCGATTGCTAGGACATCTATCTATGTTAAAAATGTAAAGTCTGGTATCCGTAGTGACGTCATATTATGTGACCACGTATGACCGTAGGGGGCGGTGTTGCACTGTTGCAGGTCACAGAGTATGGTGTAACACCAGGTCCAATCCACCGAACCAGAACCAGTTTCGGTTTAAGTTTCGTTTTTGACGTGCTGCATTTCTTCACGTTTGCAGTTTAATAATAATAACTAATAGTTTAGTTTTTCCTGTGACTTATTTGCAGTATGATAAATGGTAGGAGCATAATATACGCTCCCAATGTTTTGTTGGTCTTTTTGTTGTTGTAAATAATTACCTTTTTTTGCGGTTTTATTTATTTATTTGTGTATCTTGAGATCTATGACGTCATCAAATACTCGTTCTACTCGGGTTTTATTATGTTAATGTCGAGTTTAAAAATTATATACTCGTTCAACCCCTATTACCTACTACCACTCGTCTTTTGCTTTATTGTGCGGAGCTGGGAGATAATCAACTAGTTTCACTCGGAAAGAAAGTCGAGCCCAAATAACCGCAACCCACGAATCACAAGATTTACAAGCACTTCAGAAAAAAACAAGCCCAAATTCACGTATAATAAGCGGACTTGTCAACAATGCTAGGGCGCCTGGGGGAGCAGATGTTGGAGGTTAAGGGCCTTGCTCAAGGGTCCAGCATGGGGAAAATGAGGGAAGACGTTTTGACATTGTCAATCCGGGGAGTCAAATAGATGACCTTTCAATCACAGACTAGCCTCCTCTAACCTGTATGCCACCACTCCCCTTTCCTTTGGTTTTACATTGTAACCCCCCCCCCCCCCACACACACACACACACAAAGTGATCGACGTATATCTTTATTAATTAAAGACTCTAAACCATATAATAATAATAATAATCTAAGGCTTTAATGCAAACAAAGTGAGCACAAATAGTCAAACTACATAGAAAAGCATGTTAATCAGGAATCAAAGAGATGATATTATATATGTTTTATATTACGGTTCTTTTTTCGGTACCAATTTTGTAATTACTATTAATTCTAACAAGAATAAAATTACGTTACACATTACAGTACAAATTGTGAGTTTTATTTTTTAACTTTGGTATTTCTAGTCCAAGCAGTTTTCTTTCATTAAAATACATAATTTCCAGGTCAAAAGACCAGTTACAAACCAGTGACACGTCAGTGTCTAATGCTCACTGCTACACACTGAGGACCTTTTCACTGAACAGTTTTTCTTCAGAAACATCAACATGTCTGTTTTCTGTGGACACAAACAAGATGCTCCTGGCTGATTGTGTCTCCAGCAGTAGAACATGTTCACTCTGAGGCTGTAGATGATGCTTGTTGCACACACAGAAACTTGGTTGCCAGTTTGACATATTGTCCCTCACATTCCACCAGCAGGTCACTGGATTCAATGAGGTTGGGGCTGATGCAGACATCTGCACCTCTGTGTCTCTGCCTGAATCTTCTCTGTGGTTCTCTGGGGTTTAGGGCTCTGATCATCTCCTTAATTGACATGAGAACAAAACATCAACAATAACATGGATGTGTTATTATTGATCAAAAAACATCTAGGCTGAGAGAGAAAAGTTTAGCTGGTCAACAAAATCTTTTACAGCTGAACTTACCTCCACCGTGTAGCTCCACTGTAGAAAAGACAGCAAACTTTTAACAACAAAGTCTGTGACTGTCCTGTGGCCCCCACCTCACTTTTCTGTCTGTCCTCACATCAGGGTCAGAACCTCCTGTGAGGAGAACATTAACATGAAGATGAACTGTTTAAGCAGCTGACTGGATGGATGAGCAGTTTTACAAGCTAAGCTTCATCTGTTGCTGTCGATCTTTAGTTAGCTTCTGAGTTTAGCTAGCCACGTAGATAAAATAAATTTACACACTAATATGTTATAGTTAGCGTTATTTCACCGCGATGTACGTGTTAAGCTGCAATAATATTAACAAACGTAACAAAGTCCATGCTCAATAATCCAAGTATAAAATCCAGCATTTTTCAGTCAGGTCAGTCAGGTTAACAAACGTAAACTCACCAGCTGAAACAGACACAGAGCCGTCCTCGGGAGTTCTTTGATGAAGACGAGTCCGGCTGTGGAATGTTGATTCAGTCCGTTTCACACACACAGAGATTGACTCACGCTGAGAGGAGGAGGGGGGAGGAAGCTGGTGTCAGTCTCTCTTCTTGCAGAGAAACACGGAGCAACTTTCTGCGCGTGTGTTGTCGGAGCCGTTCGACAACACACGCTGCACACGTGAACCCGTCTGTGGGTGTCACCAGCACAACATACATTGTACATAGAATAGGTGCGGCAGCTCTATACAGCTCTGGGTGTAAACACGTAGTCTGTTTGTCATATGTCTGGTGTTTTACCAGCCTGCGTGCTGAAACCACGTGACATCTTACTGCCAATACCAAAACTTGACACCGAAAGAAGAGTGACGTTTCAATACATACACCGACCGGTGCAGTTCGGTCGGTGCCATAAAAGAACCTCGGTTCGGTACTCAGCCCTAATAGTTATCCAATCAGATTAATTTACATTTTTGTCCAAGCAGAAACAGAAGGAGCTCTCATTGGTTTTGACTTCAATTTCATTAGAAAAAGTTGTCCCCTGGATGAATTTGTTTAAAACTTGACCGCAACATAAGTTAATCAGAATGATGATATAGAGTGGTGTGTCCAAAACATGGAGCTCTGAGCCTGCGGGAAGGCCTTGAAGGCTTTATTTATTTATTATGACCACGTGAAGATTTAAGATGCATTCAATTGCAACTCGTTAACTCAAAAATCCACTTGTAGTTGCTCTAAAAAGTGAAGGTTAAATATAAAATTAAGTTTTACATTGATAGTTGTGAACATTAAAGTGGTATTTTGGTTTCATTGCATGATGACATTTTACAGACGCAGTAAGTTACTGTATGTGGGTTAATGTTACATTTCACTGTGAAGTCTTGAAATTACATGTTGTACTTGAATGCTAGAGAGTGTGCGCCGCAAGTTCTTCTGGGTGAACCTGTAAAAGAAGTGGGTGAACTTTTGCAGGTTGTGTGTTCAGAATGGGTTGTCCCTGTTGTTTTTTTATGGTTAGTGTTGGTGTTTATGTTCAGGCTATTGTTGTTCGTGACTGTAAAACAAACAACACCAAAAGTCAGATGTTGTACTTGATAGATAAAAATTGAAGCCTTTCCTGTCGGTGAGTTACTAAATGGCAAACCTGAACGTTTAAGTGATATAATCACACCGTGACTCTGTGTCTTTGACATTGACATTAATGTTAATTTACTGTTCATCTTAACTGAAGGCTCTTATCGGCACAGTTCATCACTGGGTTCTATTAATCCCAAACAGCTAGGGTGGAATTAAAAGTGCACACCAAGCAAAAGCTTACGATAAAACTGTCTGGCCATGAGGGGCCAGTGGGGAGCATTTTTTTTTTTTCGGGGTGGCCATTGTCCCCTCTGGGTCACTCCTGGTGTGTGACCAGACACTCATTTCATGAAATGAGATTTTACCAGTAATTCTTAAGAAATTTGCTTTTCCACAAGCTCCACTGACTGCTCTTTAAATTGCTGCCACACAATTTAGTGGTGGAGACCTTTTCAGT